TTGGGGGGGGGGGGGGTTTCAAATGGAGTAATTTTTAAAGCAGCTTTTACAAAACTCTCTTTTGAATGCTATAAAACCTCAACCTCCTGTTCAGCTCTCCCGTCTGAGAGCACAGGGAATCATTTCGGCTTCGCCAGCCTGCTCTCCAAAGCCCTCAATGCCAGCAAGGCTAGTGAATGGCAGGCATTTCCGGCACATATTTTATATGAACCTACGCTCCCCATTTGCTTTTGGGGAAGGATTAAAATCAGGTCTAACTCTAAAACTGGAAAAGCCAATAAAATTCACCCCACGGAGGCCAACCAGGACCAGAACATTCAGAGGGGCAAAGCACCCATGCTCCTGCCATAGACATGAATGGCAGTGGTAGGCATTTAGCCACTGAAAACCCCGCTGTGTTAATTCAGACTTAGTAATACAGATTTATGCCCTCAGCTTGAGGCACCCAACTTTGAGCATTCAGGCTTAACTGATGGAGCCCAGGTACCCAGTAAATAAAACAACAACAGTTAAGTTCAAAATAAACTGAAGCCAACCCAAAAACCACAAGGGGAAATTTTCAGTAGCTGTCCTAAGTAGATTTTAGTGTAGGAGCAGCATAGTGAAGGCTACAGCAATTGCAGATGGGACACCAGAGGAAGTTTAGAGTCTCAGCTGAAGAACACTCAGAGCTACCTAGGTGGCTTTACTTGGTGCCCAAAAACACATCCCGGTATTCTGAGGTCCCTACAGAAACATCCATGTTAATTGGAAAGTAAGGTGAAGCCTTTCCCTAACAAATAAGCAATGCAATTATGAAGCAAGTCAATAGTGTAAAGCCAGCTAATGTGTTCCAGCGATATTTTGAAACTGTAATCTGATACTACTGTTTCCATCCTCGTGCCTTGCCTGCACTCCCTTGTTGCATACTGTACTATTTGAGGCCCAGAGGGCAAAGCAAGCTCTTGCTGTTTGTTAATGATCAGAAACTGCATTTCGACTGAGAGCTGCATGCGTGCCGCCCACTCCACTTTCTCGATAGTTTCTTAAACTTGCAGACTACTGAAACCCAAGCAGGCAGCATACTTCTTGAAATACTGAAGCAAGCAGAAACAAAACAAAACGAAAATACAAAACCCACCCTCCTCTCAATTTAAAACTCCAACAAGTTTTTACTGGGTTAAAAAAAAGAAGAAAAAGCCACATTCTAACTCAGTCTCTTTACTTGCAGTCTGCTAACTCTTTCAGGAAGCATACGCTTCTATTGAATTAGAAACAGTTTCTAATGCTGTCAGTTTACTAAGTATAACCTTTTCTCTTGGAAGAAGAGAACCTCAATGTTTTTGACAAATGGCACCCAGCAAACAGAACTGTCAGATAAAGCAGGAATGGGCTCCAATAAATATCAGTTAGAATAAATTGCTACCTTGTTAAATAATCATTTCAAAGGAGGAACAAGTTTTGTAGATCATAGCACTGTTATTAAAAGTGTTTATATTAAAAATTCTGTGAAGTTCTCTCACACTAATACAAGCTTAAATTGGACTTAACCAGAGGTAGTTTATTAAACCATTAAAAACTACCCTAAAAAACTGGAAGGTCTTGGCAACTGCATAGGTGCCACACGGATGGCAGTCTGGGTATTTTTCAAATGCCCTCTTAAGAAGAAATCAAAATCCAATAGCACAGACAGGATAGGACAGGTGAGTGAATTAGAAAAAGGACCTTCTCTTCCTTGATACAAAGGACAAACGATGTGTTCTTAGAATACAGGATGAATTTGCACAAAACAGTTACTGAAACAAGACAGCATTTGCTTATCGGGAAGCATTCAAACCTGTTCCTTCCCGGGCAAGAATGAACTTTGGGGGGCAGCGTGCATTTGGTTTATGTCAGAGGCCTAGCTAGCCAAACTCACTATTCCCAATTTCAACTTTGGGCACAGAACTTCCTTTTTGCCTCCTTGCAACAGTGACCAAAGGCATCAGTCAGGTGTGACCAGGGTCACAGGACTCCAGTCTGTCCCTTTTTGGTCTCGTTTACCCAGTGTGTGGGAGAGGTGGGGACGGGTGTCACCATGCAGAAAGAAGCACCCTGTCATTCCTGGCACAGCCTCAACCCCACTCACTAAAACACTAGTGTTTATGGATCCACCTTGATCACTGACATCCTTTAGACCTATTCTGAGTGAGATCAGACAAGCCTGTGCTATAGAGCCAGGCTACACCCTTGCTACCAGTGCACTAATACAGGGGGAAAGGCAAGGAGACGGAGGGCCAGGACACAGACAAAGCTTTAATCCCATGTCACCTTTGTCTAGACTCCTCACTACTCTCTTCCATAGAACAGCTGCGCCACTCTATGCCAATGATTGTCAACCACCATGCTGTGGCACTCTGGGGTACCTGGAGATCCTTTCACGGGTGCACTGGAGTGCCACATGTCTGCACTGTTAGGCATGCAAACAGGATTTACAAGACAAAATGTGTGGCTTAAAGCTAAGGAGGTGTTCCTAGAGTCCAAAAAATGTTGAGAAAAATCACTGCTCTGTGCCAATGGTTCTCAACCTTGTCAGACTCCAGGCATCCTTGGAAAATGCCAGCTCTTAGCTGTCACTCATTTTTTGACTACAGGCAAAAAACAGAGGAAGTCTTCAGTTGCAAAGAATTCAGAAAGCCCGTAACAGGGCAAAATGTTTTGGACACTATAGATTCTTATTTTATTCTTATTCTGGGTTTATCTTGTGAATCATGTGTAGGTATTTGGGCACCTAACATTGCTAAAACTGCAAAGCACCCTGCAGCACCCTTAACAGGCAAGCGGAGCACTCCAGGGTGCTATAGCGCCCTGGCTGAGAACCACTGCTCTCGCAAGCTATGCAGACAGAGGCCTTTGCTTCCAGAATCTGCCAAGTCAGCAGGGAGCACCTTAGAGTAAGCAAGAGGGTTTTCTGTCCCCTGGCTGAATAAGGGTCAGTTTTACAAAGATTCCCATTTCAGCCAGAGTAAGCAAGAGGGTTTTCTGTCCCCTGGCTGAATAAGGGTCAGTTTTACAAAGATTCCCATTTCAGCCAACCCAAAGAGGGAGACACCAAGGTTATTCCAAAACTTAGGTCTCCACGTGGCAGCATTAAGGAAGTTGTCAGACCTGCCAAGCACGAGTCAAATTATATTATGCTGTGTACACATGGTTCAGACATATGGTACAGCAATTCTGCTGCCAATATCCAGTAACCTGCTGCCAATATCCAGTACCTCAGGGTCTATGGTCTGGAACCTTACACATCTGATGAAGTAGAGAATCAGAACTGCAGCAACCACACAACCCCCAGTTCACTTGCATGGATGTTATGAAGTAAAATCGATCTATTTGAACAAACCAACAAATGATGCTTGCTGTTACCTGAAGATATGCTACAGGGCCTAGTCATGAGAGGGCCTCTGGGGCTGAAGTTAGTCAAGAAGCCTCTACATCAGTGGTTTTCAATCTGTAGTCTGCAGACCCCTGGGAGCCCACAGACTACGGCTAAGGGGAATGTGAAAGAGGACTATGATCAATCAAGAGCACGTGAATACCCACACTTACAAATCAAGGGGTCCGCACCTCTGATCAACATTTCCAGAGGTCTGCAAATGAAAAGTTGAAAACCACTGCCATAGACCATTATTTCAGCAAGTCAGAGAATAAGTGGGAGTCAATCCTTGATTTAGGCCCAAATCCTGCTAGTAGAACCACTGCACAGATTGCCCACTGAAATCAATGATGCCCAGTGCAGGAGTCTGCTCACACATTTCTACCATGAGAAGTCAGGGCATAATCTCTTCAAGCAGTAAAGCAGCAACAATTAAGATGGCTGTGTACTGCTTTGGGGCCCGATACAGTGAAGAGCTGACTTCCCTCTGTTCCACTGGCTTCAGAGCCTGCTGGGAAGGGGCAGTTCAATTGTAATCTGAATACAAAGCCATCTGAAAGTGCTAGTAGAGACAGCAGTGCAAGTGACATGCACTAACAAATAAACATAAAGCCTTCACAGTCAAGAGAACCTGCAATGGCAAGATGCCACCACCTAAAAGTGAAGGTGAAATATTACACACCTACCAACTTCTCTCTTCTTCTGCAATTTTCTTATTGTGCTAAACAAAAGGTTGTTGCCGTGTTGTGTCATATTCAGCTGGTTAAACAAGACGTCTTTAGTGGCACATACATATCATGGTCTGGTTGATATACTTAGCATATTTAAGGCTCTGAAGTTTTCAGAGTCTCTTCTTTCCTGGATGCAGGCAGTTTGCATAAAGGTTAATGGGAGCTACGTGTGCATCAAAGGCAGAGTAGGCATTCCCAACCCCAGACCCCCTTGTGTATAACAGAAAACAGTTTCTCTCAGGTATTTTATAATTGCTTGGATGGAGTTCTCATTCTCAACCCTTTTGTAATGCCTTTTCCCCAAAGAGACCTTGTTTTTCCCCTCACGTTATAGACCCTTAATAAACACACTGGGAAAAAAACCCAACCCCAAAACAACACGCTACAGAGAACAGAGCTGTACAGGCTGCCAAAAAAGCACACTACTGCTCTGAAAACAGAGGACTGAATAAAATTACCACAGTCTAACTGAAAAGCAGCGACTAGACTTTTTTCCTAAAGAAAAGCACAATGAAAAATGCAAACTACATCTCAGCCATGGCAAATCATTCTAGCTAGTCTTGTAGGTTGTGTTTATTAACCAGTTTCTTCCCACTGAAAGTTAAGGGGAAAAAAACCTGAGCAAACTCACAGGAAGTGTTTCCATGGCATTCTTTATAAAACAATTATCCTTGTATACTTATGAGTAGTTTTTAGCTTTTTTCAGTGTGAAGGTAATGAACACAGTACCAAGAACCTTAAACAGGCATGCCACAAGGCAGTCCTCAGAATTGCTGGTTTTACAGCTTTCGTAGCCTGTAGGGGAGCGACAGCATCACATCTGTCCAACTTGACTCCCCAGCCTGAATGAACAGGTACCTAAACACAGCTAGGTCAGTTGACGGTAACCCTGGGTGCAAGTCAAGCTCTCCAAGATGCCTTATCTGCTCTGCCAGGGTGCTCCAGTACACACATTATCAACTCAGAAGTAACTGGCAAGAACAGGTACCACTAATGGAGGACTCTTGATCAGTGCAAAAATGCACGGCTTCTTTATTAGGAATTCTCATACTACACAGGGAGAAATGTAGGCTTTATCAATTATTCCAAGGGGAAGATAGTTTTAACCTGTCCCCAGCACACGCAAGAACAGGAAAATAGTGAAGATGTACCATGAAAGTTTGCTAAGACAGTTATGTGATGTTTGGTAAACGGACAGCTGTTGCGTCTTTCAATCCAGCGTTCTAACGTTATCTAAGTGTTGAAATGCAGTGCATGTTTTCCTGTTTCCTGAAGGAGACTTCTGAAAGCTGATAAAGGGAACCTTGGCTGGCACTGAACTACAGTGAACCCATAACTACAAGCAAGAGGCAGAGAGATTTAATTTTCATGGTATCTGATACCACAATCAAAACCACCAAGCAGACTTATAAAAATAGTATAATTAAGAATATTAACCACTAAAACTGCATAATTTGTAATGTCCAATACCTGAAGTGCTAATATCCTCAAATCTGTCATGTTAGATATGCAGTTTTAACCAACTGTCCTATTTTTCAGACATGCTTTCTAATCCCACCGCTCAGTTATCCATCTGTGTGTATATATTATCTCAATTCCATATTTAAAAGACTGTGTGGCACAGTCAATTAACATAAAAAATTTAATTTAAACCAAGACACAGTAAGTACATTTGTGTTGGTGGAAAAGTCAATCTACATTTCATGACCCCCTCCCCAAAACTAATCAGAACAGAAGGAAGCATTCTAAACTGCATTTCTCCTTTAAACCAGACAAATCATACACCACAGCCAAGTTCTATATTAGTTTTCCTGCAGTTACAGTGACTAGGGGGGAAAAAAAATCTAACCCAAGGCAGCATGTGCATCATGTATGTCTTTTTGTGCTCATAACTGAGGGGAACAAACCAAACAACACATGGCTTTTAAAAAAAGAAAAGAAAAGGTAAAAGGGAATATAATATTATCCCTCCTATTCATTCACAGTACTTTATGCAATAAACACTCTGATTAGAGGAGGGGTGTGTATTTAAGGGGATAGTTATCTTAGAAGCACCAGCTTCCCAAGCAGATGGAGGAGGAGTTTAACAGAGGCTATGCATGTAGTCACAGGAAGAGACAGAAGCCAAGTTATTGTACCCATGGGATAGTGAGGTATTAAAAGGCTCAGCTCAAAGTCCTTCTGACTGTAGTATTGCATGACATAACTTAGGTCACTGCTCCTGAGAAGGGGCAAGGGGATAAGGGCTGATTTGCAGCAAATCACACTATAATAAATGCTTAAATGTTATTGTCTCTCCCTCTCTCTCTCTCCCCACTCCTCCACCCCTTTCAGGGCAATAAGGAAGAAAATGTTGCTACCACTCAAAACACTCAATTGGAATCCACAGACAAGCCAATGATACATTCATGATACATTAAGTTGACTTACACTAGTCATATAAAAATGTTTATTTGTAAAAATGCAAAACCTAATATAGAGGGGGGGAAAATGAGTGCATGCGCATGCTGAGGGATGGTAGCAATTCCCTATAAATACATGAAAAATATGGAGTTTATGAAGACAGAAAAATGTTGCTGTACTTTATGAATTAATTTAAGAACTTCATTTTGCAGCTACCTGAAGTTAAGACAAAGCCGCCTCTAGGTATTTAAAACTAGTCAGACCTGCTGTAGCAGTTGCACAGTCTGTTTCAAATATGCCCTCGCAGTTCTTCCAACCCCCACCCCAACACATATCCGCATAGTTTACCTCCAACCATGGGCGTTTCTTTCTATAGCGCAGTTTACTCAACAGACTTATTGCCTCCCTGGCAAGGGAAGGAGTTTTAGAAGACCAATGTGAAAAGCTAATAAGAAAAAGCTAGTACATAGAAAGCAAATAGTGTGGTAAGTAGGAACCACCATTCTGCAGAAAGCTTGTTTGGATCCTAGGGCACAACTGTTTGCAGTGGATTGAAAATCCTGGATCAAAAGAAAAATGTTTTGTTTGTTACAGATAATCCTGGCAGGTATTAAATCTGAGCAAATGAAATCCTTTACTTAAATACTGCAGCACTGAATGCATACCAAATGGAGGGAAGGTCTAAATGATCACATCCACATGTTCTTTGAAGAAAAACCAGTGTTACACTGTACTGCTTATTAATGGTATTGACTTTTAAATTAACATTAAAATACCTTTTTCATATCCTAAATAAATCTTAACACGTTTCCTGTGCTGATGCCCACTTTGAAGGCAGAGGCTATAGGATCAAATCTAGCTCATTTTACTGATACAGGAAGAAGGTAAGTAGGATCCAACTCCTACTGATGACTCAGATTGTGACATCTGTCACTCAAAGCCATATAAAAACCACCCTCCAAAATGAGAAACTTCTCCCAGCCCCTATCCACCTCTATTCTCCAAAAATTCAGCTAGGTTGCAGACAAGGATTGTAGGCATTACAGAACCAAAATTATGCCCTCAGTTGTGAACGCACATAATGTCTGTGTGCCTGCAGCAGAAGGCAGAATTTGGCCCTTTCTTTGATCATGTAACTCAAGACTGCAGGCATGATTCCATTACACCAGGGTAAATCTGGAGTAACTCCAAAGACAAGGAGTTTCTGCACTGACTTCTCTGAGCTGCTGAGCAACAATCCACTCTGAGGTGGAGAAAGCAAAAGTTGCCTTTTCATTGGGGGCGTCTGTGGACCCCTCATCCAGGGCCAGCTTGGCCTCCATTGGAGCTTTCAAACAGTTTTACAACCAATGCTGACTTTATGCAGTGGCCTGAAGCCCCCAAACACCATTCCAGTTTTCCCCTGGGAATGTCCCCAGGCCAACTCCATACCACACAGGGAATCCCCTGTGCTGGTGGAATCTCCCTGCCCCAAATCAAATCAGCTTTAGAGCTCCCAGCTTTGGCCAAAGTGGCATAACGCAGAGGATTTGGTCCACAGACTTCAGCGAGTTACAGTAAACTTACAATGGTGCAAGACAGATCAGACTCTAGTCAGGTAATGTGCTTACAAGAACATTATTTCTTGTTTGCATTGTTACCAAGCCTTTGCATGGATCAGGGCCCCGTTTTGCAAGGTGCTGCACAGAGAACAAAAGGGCTAGCCCTGCCCCAAAACACTTGCAACCTATAGGCTGCATGTTCACTTAGAATTTGGCTTCTCTCAACTTGAGCAGCTAACTGCAACTTTGACATAATTAACATATTTTTCCCCTCTCCCCACTTCCGGTACATAGCTACCATTATCTTTTAGTTCTCACATTACTAATGATGAACAAATAAGGGGAAAAAATAAGTGGAAACCTCAGCCATGGCAAATATTAAAGCTGACTTAATTTACTAAAAAGTAAAACCTAGAACACGAGAGGTTTCACTCCATCTAAGGGAAGCAGGCACTTGTATTCAGCAGCAGCTAAATCTAGTTGCTATTCACTGTGTGTGCTTTTAAAACAACTTACTGGCATAAAATATAAGTGACTTCTATACAAAACAAGCAAAAAACAAAAACCAGAAGCCACCCCTCATTCTTGGATTTGTAGATGCCATTTTCTATAAACTACTAATTAGTGGGAGGATCAGCTACACTGGGATCTGCACCTATTGCCATTAGGCAATTTAAACTGGACCTTGCTCTCTCTTTTCTTCAGTGCATTCATGATCTTTGGACTCAGTAATCAGAGTCTGCCATTTCTGGCACACATTTTTTTTTTTTTTTTTGCTGAAGAAACTGTTTCAGCTGGAGCTGTCTCCTCTTGTACCAGGACTACAAGTTACAAGAAAACATAACTGCACTAAACATACCTCATAATAAAGTAGTGGATTTCCAAGGGTTTCTTTAAAAAGTGGTGCATTTCTTTCCTCACAAGCTACCCTCAAACAAAAGGCAAAACATGGTCACCCCTACGATTGCCTACCTTGCGTTAACAACTCATTCTGAACTGTGCCAAAGTGTTGAGCATAAATGTGAAAAATATCAAAGCTCTAAGCCGTTTTTCAAATAAACGTTTCACAGAAAAGAAAAGCAGCCGATTAATTGCTGGCAAAGTAATTTAAATAGATATTACATAAGATCTGCTGGATTTGATGGTGCTGAAACTTCACTAAAAGAAAACACCAACCTACAACAAAGTTTGAATTTGAATGCTGATTGCTTTTGATACCTTATTTTCAATTGCTTGATGTCTTTTCAGGCAGTCAGTTTCAATACCTGAGTCTTCTGGATTATTTATATCATTTTCCACAAAAAAAACCCTGTCAAACAGTCTCACCGTTTCATCTTCTCCATAAATCAGGCTAAAAATAACAGGTGTGTAAGGAACACAATTACACTTCATAATAAATCAGCATATGTGTCTACTTAATGCTGTGTAGGACTGCTTTAAATAAGACAAACCTAAGTACCTTCAGGCTAGCAAGTTTCTTCTGTTTGTTTTTTAATCAGCTTCAGAGCAAATAAGAAAGCAGCTTGACAAGGAAACTGTAGGAATATTATTAATAAGCTCAAAGAATAACTTCATTTCCTAAGCGTCCAATGCAGTTTCTACTGAGAACAATTGGGGGTTCTGCTACTGACTTAAATGCAAGTCAGATCGCCCTCTGAAGGAGGAAACTCAGCAGCTGTTACGTTATATGCTGCAATAC